TGGACTCAATGATATCAACCATTTTCTTATAAGGATATTATTGTTTTAGTGAAGGGATTCAATATATATTACAGTATGTGATGAGTCAAAGTACACGTTGCTGTTCTGAATGACTGGCCAGACCCTAAGTATCACATTAGTTCAATATTCATACATCAGAACTGAAGGCATGCACAGGAGGTGTAGAGAAGCCAATAACCACTCAGCAAGGAAGATCCACAGAACCATGGCAGAATGGTTTGCACAGCATTTTGCTGTGATGTTGACACTTTGCTTTCCATCAGCATTCACAAAAATGCTTTTGGGATGTGAGTGCCAAGAACTTACTGGTTTTGGACAGTTAGGAGATTTTGCTTTCATTTACTCAACATGTGCCACAACTTACACAAGACTTTTTTACAGATACAATTGTGCTGGCAAATGAATTTGTCCAGCTGCAACAAGTACAAAATAATGAAACAGAAATTATCATATTATGAATCTAGATATTACAATAGGAGCAGGCTTTTTCAAGAAAGAACTACAAAGAATTAAGGGAGAGTGAGAAATAAAATGGAATAATGCTAAGATAATTTTTTAAGAAAAAAAAAGTAACAACTGATGTATGAGTGGAAAGAATGATAAAAATAATGCACATCAGTCAAATTTCCATGTATTTCTCTATCCTCTCTAATTATTTTCTGTGAAATACACTACAGTATATTTGGGTCTTGTAATCTTATTTTCAGGTTCACATCTGCATGAAGAAAAAAGATCTCCTTCGCTGAACCTAATTGAAAGCACAAGTTCTGAAAGCTAATATGACGCTGAAATTTCTTTGGGATATCACATTATCAAAAAAAAATACTTGAATTTATGCAACAGTACAGCATACAAGAAAATTAGCAGCAGCAGCAGACAGGTAGCTATTCTTAATAAGGTCCATAGCAAGTTCCCAGGGAACACTTTGCCAAGAGAAACTTCCTAGGAAATAATCACAGAAAAAAACGTGCCTTGTTTTCAAAGGAAGAAACTTTTTTAAACAGCACACTACAGTTCTGTTCATCATGGTGCAACAACCATGCAACCAGGTGACTTTTGCGGAGCTATTTTTTTCCACTGCTAAATCATACCAATGTCACAAAGTTGAGGACCGTACACACACTGAAAACTGAATGCCACAGTCAAGAGATTTTTATTCAGTAGTGCTGAAACATGAGACAAGATCCAAACTAAAGTTCAGGCCTCCAACTTTGTCTTGACTACTTCCTACTATTATATGTGAGATTCTTTCACACAGCCTCTGAAGCAAGTGTCTGAGCTCCTGTGGGGATTGTTCAAGGAACTGAAGTAATGCTATAAACTCTCCTAAACCCTGTCAAACAAAAGATAAGGCAGAACCTTTTATTTTCTCACAGAGTGACATTATTCAGGGACAGGAAACAAAAACTAGAACATTTTTTTAATGAGGAAAAAAGATAGTCAACATACAGTGGTTAGCGTTATAGAGCAAATCTTATCTATGATGATGCTGGAAATCTTCTATTTCTATAGAATTATATATACCATAAGGCATAGTTGTACAAAAACGTAATTAATAGGAACCTCCTCCATTAGTTCTGCCCACTATGAACGTCATACAAAATGAAAGAAACCAATAGCAACTCACTGAAAAAAAATCACTTCTACATTAATTATATTCCTTGTACTCTAACAATCCAACGTTGTAAAACTTCTGCAGTTTCAGACAGTCTTTTAAATTAGCAACTCAGTCAAAATAGTTTTCCAGCCTTGCACAATTAAATACATGAAATGACACTTCTGAAAAGCTGACAATCTTAAAACAAAGATGTTCAGTATCAGTTTCTCACATGAGAAAACTTCTTCTGGCAACCCAGCTCTTTCATCAAAGCCTGTTACTCCTACCTAGGTTTAATATGTTCTTTGGGTGTTTTGTGAATTTGCTTTTTGGTGGGAGCATTAGCTTTCTGGATTAATGAATACTGAACAGGAATGAGAAAGCATTTAATCAAGTTTAATACTCACTGTAAGTCTGAATACCAAACCATCAGTCCTACGTTTTATTTCATTAAAGCAATGTATCATTTCTCCTGTGATAACAGTATCAGTCGGCACTTCTGGAGATCAAAGCAAATCAGAAACAAGCCTGCCAAGCTGAACATATGTAATTCTATATGTAATGCTGCATACAATCCACATGCTGACTTAGACTTGCAACTAGACAAAGATCATCTTTGTGCATTTATATGGCCTGTGCTTAGTACATTGGTTTGCAGATCCTCCAATCCTTACTTTAACACTACAAGACTAAAACCAGTAAGTTTTGCTTACATGATTGGTGTTCTGGTATACAGGTGGTCTGTAAATAAACCGTTCCCTCTTAAACCACATGAGGGAGTCACTGATAAGAATTTCAGAATAACTGGAGATTCATTTAGCTTTAAACACCAGAAGAAGTTTGCAGAATTCAGTCTGTCAACACTAGACCAGTTATACATAATACTTCACAGCACTGTTATGAGAAGTCACTCAAATGTGAAATATGGGCAAAAATTTTTACACCTGAAAACACTCAGCTAAACATCTCAGCATGTCTCCAATACAGGCTTCAAGTTCACCATTACTTTCCTTCAATAAAGCATACTTCTTCAATTGTCCTTACAATAACAAAGTAGAAAAGTAGAGTATCATCTGGAGAATTACATTCAAGTAGACATTTTCTGGAGCTAGATAATGTATGACTGTTTGTGTCTCTGGAGGTTTAAGATAAAACAAAAGGCACTTTGAGTACTTCACTATTACTCATAAGTTTTAGCTCCAACTCTGTAAAAAAGAAAACCTACCTATTGTCTCTGCTAGTGAACTAAATACTTATTCTATCAGCGAATAAATAAATAAATAAATAAATTCTGTTAGAGTTATTACGTTATACTTTTTAGGCATAAGCAGTATCCGGGAGTTCAAAAGTATGTATCTCACACAAGGCAGAAAAGGTACTGAAGCTTTCAAAGTATTTCTACGTCTACTAGAGGAAATCACACTCGCTGGGGTGAAATAACTGGAAAGAAGTAACTATATACTATGTCAAGCCAACCAAGGCTAAGATAATAAAGAAAGACTGGCAATGAATAAAGCAATGCTCCTCATATGTGGTCAACTAACCAGGAGGTGTAAATGCTGCTGGACTACAGCATCAATATTTTAATATTTTTTTGTTTTAGACACACAGGTATGGTACAGGTAAGAGGAAAAAAGAAAGATACACACTGCACTCAAACATACTGCTGATGTATGTACTTTAAAATAGTTCACCATAAATACACATAACAGACTAGAACATTTGATTATTTAAATTCATGTGCAATCCTTAAAACAGCCACTCACCACTGTAGATAAAAAATGGCAACAAAAGTCAGCAGGTATGGAACTAGACACCTTCGAAAGCAAGGGGACATTTGCATGGCTTGCTTTGCTTGGAGCCATTTATTCACAGACCAGTAAAAACACCCATTGGTAATGTCAAGAAGCCAGAAGTACCAGTGAACTTTTGTATTTAGCAAAGTAATTACTAAAGCTAAGTAGAGTACACAAGTATAGAGGTAAAAAAATCACTGTCCAACACAAAAAAAAGATCTACTGTGTTATTAACAGACTGAAAACTGGTTGGGTTGGTTTTTGGGTTTTTTTGTAATGCTTTGAAAATATACATCTTGCAAGAGATTTATCTTAAGGAATGAGAAAACTGCAAACACATCACGACTTCTTCTATGTCCTTCCTACTACAACCACGTTACCTTTGGGATTTTACATATGAATAGGAAAAAAACCAATGTAATTGAATATCATCCTCTTAAAACAGTCATAACAAAAATTGAGTCTTTCCTGAAAGGGAGCCAAGGAAAAGAAAACTGCACTACTAGTATCTTTTGCAGCTGTTTATGTCAAATATTCATTTCAAATAGGACTGCGTAGGAATAAAACTATATGGGTTTTAGAGGCAAAACAAAGGCACACAAAGAAACTTCAGAGTAAGGATGGTGGGGATCACAACTTAAATCCTAATACTAGGCAGTATTCATGCAGAATTATGCCTGTCAATCCACAGGTTTGAATAGCCTCAAAGGCTACGTAATAACATTACAGAACCAACTAAAAAATGAATGTAACAAGGTTTCTAATACAGTGAAATATTTTAATGTGGTTCATATAAAGCAACAATAACCTCAGCTATCAGCAAGTAATACACTCTGAATATTACACAGGAAGGAGCCATGTATGTGGGTGTATCAGTAGTCCAAACTGAGGATGACCGCCTACCACATCCTCAAGGGTCCTTCTATTTCCAGTCACATCACAAGGGAAAATCAATACAGCCATATTTCTATGTGGCTAATCCTGTTAGACCAAATGCCCGTTGACACCCCCACCTTCTTCCCAACTGCAGGCACAGGACTGTGCCACCCCTTGAGGTGACCTCCTGAGCACCCGGCGCCACTGAGAGCCCACGGGCTGTCAGCACGTCCTCTGTGGTCTTCCTTGCTTATAACAGATTTTAGCCAACTTTTACTCTGCCCTTAAAGTCAACACGAAACAGTTCCCTAGACAGTCCTGCAATGAATGTTATCTGCAGACTGTGGTATTTTGGGGAAAGAGAAAATGAGACAAAATATACAAGAAGTTTTCTTTCAAAAAAACCCACCTTTTTGTGGTGATGGCTTCTAACACACTTTCCAGTCTTTCTAAAGCTATCACCACAACTGGGAGATGACATATAACCAAGAAAACCTCTGAAAATATACTCTGTCTCTGGAACACTGACCTCTTCTGAAAAAAAAGCCTGGTAAGTTTTAAGGTGACTACACAGAGATTTCAGAGGGACTGTCTGAGTTTAGTAGGTTCGAATAATTCAAATTACAAAAATAATTGTCATCTGAATTACACAGTCAATAAAATCAAGGTGCAAAAGCAGCACTGAAAGATTTTTCATTTGATATACTTACCAAACCTGCAATAGGGGTCGGCAGTCTATTGATCTTTTTTACCAGTCCCGGCTTTATTGCATTCAGCAACCTGTTACAAGAAAGGAGTATTTATGAGTGGCAAGTCACAAAATCCAAATTATCAAACACTTATCCCAGCATGTAAGGATTTCAATGTGGCTGGAAAGGAAGAGCTTCCCCTTTCTCCCCTCCTGAAAACACATGTGTGTACCCAAAGTTCTATCACTGAAAGAAGAAAGATTAGGAGGAAAAATACCCATAGCACAGAGCCTCAGCAATATTTATTTGATATCCTAAATTGTTCTAAATCACATCAGTCATGACAGGCTCTGGGTGAATTATCACATCAGTCTGACTCCATTGCCTAGAGGCAGGTCATGCCTGTAAAGGCTCCAGAGCAGAAACCCCGAAGGCATCTGAGTATCACCATAGCTTGTAGCCTGGGGAGGACAGTCTGGCAGTTTCTGCACTGCAGGAAAGTGAGAAAAGACATGCATTTTATAGGTGGGTTGTCTGTTTTTCTGCATCTGTACTTGAAATTAAATGCCAACCTTGCATATGTTGTTGAGAACAGAGGTCTCCATAAAATATAAATGTAAGAACACAAGTAAGAAGGGAGCCCAAAACCCCACCTCATCACGAAAAACATCATTAGGCCGGTAATACCACAGTTGAACACTTTTCAGTGTCCAAAGGATAGCAACCCCCCTGAACAAAGTTCCCCACCATCTATGAACACGCTATGAGAAGTGCTGACATTGCTTGTTGTTAGAATATTCCAAAAATTACTAAGCCCCTAAAAGGAGGAAATTTCAATTATAAAATCCTGTTGCAACAGACACTGTTTCTTTACCACCCTTCCCCCAACAGAAAACCCTTTTAGCCAAAGGAAAATTCAACCAGTCCCATCCATTGGGAAGGAAGTCTTTAGGTCAAGACTCTCACTTCAAATTCAAGACCTTTGAAGAGAAACAAAGATGTCTATGATAATTTAAAACTCTTTAAAAACAAGAATAGCCACTATGGAAGAGAGTAATCTCTCTTTGTGCTGACACTGTCTCTATTCAAGAACTGACTCTTCTGGCAGCTTACTGTGGTGGTAAAATGATTAACATTTAATATTCGAGAGGTCTGGCTAAGAAGCTTACCCTAACTAAAAGAATATTCCTTTCAACTAAAACCTAGCAGTCTGTGATTGTTTCCAACTCCCTACTTCTGAGCTAAGATAACACAAGGTGTGCCACTCCTACAGGCTCCACCAAGAGTCATCTATCCATAGTATCACGTTATTTACTGCTGGATTGGTTCTTAGGACTGCGGCACTTTGCAAGCTCATTAAGGAGCCCATCCCTCCCAGGGGTGAACACCTGGCTTTGTTAACACTGAAACGATGGTTTTTCCTCACCTCTTTTCTCCAGAACAGTATACTGGTTGGGTTTCTGCAATCCCTGGGAGAAAACAGGGGAGCAGAAGGGAAGATGCTATTTTAAGTGTTCTCTATGATCATAGTTCATAAAGCTTCCGTCCAACCTGTCCTAAATTGTACTTGTCTTATTACACACTTGGAGTCCCTCTATCTCCAATGCCACCATAATGAGGAGTGGCAACAAATCCAATGTGAATTACATTTTTTTGGTGTTTCAGATATTTTCTTCATCTTCTTGCAGTTAAAAACTCTGGAACCCACACTCATACAGATTGCTGTACTACTCCTGCCTTCTGCTTAAGGTAGAATCTAACAGTATTATGTCCTAAAAACAAATTATTAGAGAATATACTATTTCGCACAAACAATTCACTTATTCCTTATAGATGCACAGAATGGCAAGAAAAGATCCTCACATCTCCCTTCCTATAACCTGTAATTTTATTTCAGAGATGGAGAACAAATAACACTTCTTTTTCCACCCAAAATCCACTAACCTATCTTTTATCGTTGCACAGCAACAGCCTTATAAAACTATTATTTTCCATTTAGCTGGTGAAACAGGCAATTTAAGATTTATTTTTACCTTTTTTTTTTGGTGTTTTTTGTTTGGTTTTGTTTTTTTTTTTAATCAGAACACTTCTTTCCAAATACTGTAGCTCTGCTTTGATTTCAATCATCTATATTCCTATTCCGTCTCAGGAAAAAAGGGCTATACTAGCTAAGCATCTCATTTTCTTTATTAATCCAATGGGAATACATCAGGCACCGTAACCAATACTGCAGGTGCAGATCAAAAGCCACACACAATAAGAGAAGTAAAATAAAAGAGGTCTTAATGGAAACCTCAAATGCCAAAGCCCATTCTAAATAAATCTTCAAAATCTCTTGTACAGGACTCCCTGTGAAATATGGAAAAGGATAAAATGAGAGGAAGGAAAGGAGCAGGGAATAAACAACATTTTAGATTACCAGTTGGAGTCTGAAGAGGGAGGAAATGGGATGGGGCAAGATGGAAAAGCCTGAGGAAGAAAGGCCTCTATTATTAAAATGTTTACCTCCTGTTGGAAACATCTCTAAACAGTCTGGCACCAAAACCCTCAGGACTCGCTCACTGCAGAACGTGCCAAAGGGAGATTTCTTCCAGAGCAGACTGGCTGATTCTGATATATCACCTCATCTAGAGCAACAGTCCAGATGCCAAACTATTGAGTGGTTTAAGCTTGCTCTGCAACCAACCTGGCTGAGAAGCTGCACTGTTTATGCAGAGCGACTCAACGGTCACCTTCACTCACACAGTTATTATCCTTCCCTGCTTCTCAGAAAAGCAACTGGGTGCACCACTTCCTACCTAGGTCAATACACACACAACAAAATTGTCTGTGCCGATTTAGACTCATATAGAGCATCTACCTTGATATGTAAAGTCTTGTGAGCTCTGATAGGTTTCTGATGAAATACGGGCAAACAAAACCCCTGCTATTTTACACCAGGACCTGGTGCCACAGCCCAGGGGCAAAAGTCTGCATGGAAGAAAACACTAACCCACACCTTCCCCTGGCACTCCCCTACAACTCCAGTCCCATGCTTTCTTGCTCTGCCAATCCTACCCGTCCCCAGCCATGTCTCAGGTTAAAAACTGATAACTTAAACCATCAGAAATCTTGCTGAATGGAACATTCTAGGACATTAAATTAGATCTTTAAAAATATATTTTAAAATGTATTTGTATTGCAGCCATCCCTGAGAAGGGTATGAAAAACACAATGGCAGGGTAAGTGTTAGGGGAGCACCGTAGAACCCATCAGCTTCTTCATCAGCTGAAACACATACACATTGTTCAGTGCTTTATTTTCACAACATTTACTTTCATTAAAAAGTTAACCACATCACCTTGGTACTAGGCCACGGAGGGCAGCCTTGCTACATCATACATTTAAGGCCCCATACCCAGATCACTTTAGACAAGTTATTTCCACCACCATTCTTGCAGCAGGAAGACACTTGAAGGCACTTGCTCAAAAAATATACCTAGTTGATTGCACATTAAGATCCTCTATCTGATCTGTCTGGCCAGTTTAGCAATACTGATCAGTCTAAGGAAGGTACTAAGGTCCAGCAGGCAGGTTCAGAAGGTTGAAGCCAGCAGGTCTTGAGTTTAACTGAGTACCCACCAGTTGCAAGCCCAGATTTTCCCAAGCACAAATTTAGTTCATGGTTTTGGTTGTTTTTTTTTGGTTGGGGTTTTTTTTTTTTTTTTTTTGGTTGTTTTTTTTTTTTATAGCTGTGTTCTTCAAACATAAAAAATCCTCAAGCAGATGTGCATCTTCAAAGAAACAAAACTTTTATATCACTGTGTACCACATTCTGCTATGCCAAGGTTGGTGAGCTACTGTATAAATGGTCAGAGAGTGGAACTGTCGAAGTTGGAACAGACATTTTGGTTTTGCTGGGGATTTTGTTTGGAATTTTTGTGGGGTACTATTTTTCATACTTCTGCATCTAGGAAAACAGATGGCAATGGAACAAGTCCAACTGAGCAGCCCTGAGAGATAACAAAACAGTATGATTTTAAATCTTCCATTATTTTATCCTTATTCCTTCCCCTTCAGCTAGATATTGCTAATTTAAGGTCTCATTCCACAAGATAATGGAATTTTGGTTGAAACAAACCATAAAACAATGTCCTTCCATACTGTTTTCAACAGGAGACATAGGTACATTCCTCAAGCTTGACTATTTTTGGTAGCTGGGGTTTGGTGAGTAGCAGACATTTTAGAGATGAGTGGCAAAACAAATTTAGGGAGGACTTTGGAAAACTTTAGCCTTCAGCCAACTTGTTTCTCACAGAAATCATTCTGGAGTATTAACAGTTACTTACACAAAAAAATAAATGAGCCAGGGAGGAAAAAAGAAAGAATGGAAATATAGAGACTAATACTTCTATCTAGTCTTTTGGGTACCTGGTATCACCAGTGTTTCACTGCCATGACCAGAGGGAAGATACTGAAAGAAGCAAAGACATGACAAAAAGAAATACAGATAAGATAGTTCTTAGAGGAACTTACATCAAAATATGATGGAGGCAAAAAAAACCCCAAACCAACAATACCAAACACCCAAAAGACAATAACCCAAACCAGGATAAAATAAAGCCTCTCCAGGCTCCATCCATGACACCTGAGTCTCTGTACAAGACCTGACCTATTCTCCAGACCCTTTAAGCACTCTCTGCTGGGATTTCTGCCCCAATTTCTAGCATGTATGCACCTGTCCTGACTCAGGACAACATTCTATTCTTCACATCTCAAAGTCCTCCGGACACTTTCAGTCCAACATCTACACAGCCATCCTGCCTTTCCCTTGCACCAGGTGCTGGCTTGGATTCTTCAGTAGTTAGCTGTTAAATGAAGCACAGTAAGACACTGCATAGAAGATAAAAACCTTAGAGCTGCCTTACCTTATGGAAACGGCAGGACACAATGCAAGTGGAAAGCTGCTTCATCCCCACTCACAGGGAGAAGCTAGGTCATTTCCTTCCCCCGATAAAACCAGCTCTGGTAGGTATGGGAAGAATCAAGTGCTCTATTTGGTGCTGTCCCAAAGGCTTGGCATTCAAGGAGATAACGTATCTTCACAGCAGG